CGTATCAGCGGATCCTCCGTATCAGCATCCTCCGTATCACAGGCTCCTCCGTATCAGCGGCTTGCATCAGCGGCTCGTATAAGCGGAATAGTGATAAGAAAATATTAGTTTGCACCTCCATGCATCCAATACCGCCAATGACCGGATTTCAGTTGCATTTGTTGCATTTTCACGTAGATTCCACGGATGAAAATGCACCTCTGAGGCAACRAAACAACAACCCCAGGAAAATATGCAGTACCAATTTTGCGTGTTAATTTTGCACACAAAAGAGTCATTACAGTTGCAAAAATAGTGGTACCAAGTATGGTACCGGTCAATTTTGGGGTTAGGGCCTATGTAGTACATTTGGGCGTAGCCGGCGCACCAATAATGGGAGTGCAACTTTAGTTGCATTTGAAGAGTACCATACTCGTACTCGTTGAATTGGTCTGCTTTGTTGGCAGTGGAAGTCGAAAGTGTCAGCACTGGATTAGGAATAAGTATACAGTAATAACCTTCACTCTAAGATATATATTTTGTACTTATTCATGCTTGCATGGATGTTACCGATTCTATTTCAATCTGATAACATCATCATACCAGTATTTTCTGTAGATTCTTCCATAGACCAGTTTGAAAATAATTTTGTTGTTCTTATGAAGCATGCTCCAAGCACAAGTTTCCTTCCTCTTTGTCACATCTTCAGCATCGCAAAATCTGCAGCATCTTTGTTCTTGCCACCAGCACAAATCAGCATTTTCTGTGACGCAACACTCCCCTCCCCTAGTAATACTATAAAGTAATACTAGAAGTGGCACCAGAACTGCATTAATAAGGGTTGTTAAGAAAACATCATGCTTCTTGTATCATTGCCCAACATTTGTATCAGTGCAGTGCATGTGTATCAGTAGTACAGTGCATGTGTATCAGTGCGGTGCATGAGTATCTGTGCAGTGCATGTGTATCAGTGAGTGTGTATCAGTGCAGTTCATGTGTATCAGTGCAGTTCATGCGTGTCAGTGCAGTTCGTGTTTATCAGTGAGAGTGTATCAGTGCGTGTCTAGTATCTCAGAGGGTGTATCAGTGATTGTATCTGTGAGTGCATTGGTGGTTCTAGTAATCATGGAAGTCAAAACATTAAAAAGAACTAAAATAGTTTTGACTGTAATAGCTTCTCAAAGAGGAAGGGAGGTCTGGGGGGTTGATTTTCAAGAAAGTTTCGAGCAATCTTTTTAGTCGTAGAGCCGATAGGGTTTTGCACCTGATACGGAGGAGTATGTTAATATGGAGACTTGCTGAAACGGAGGATGGTGGTGATACAGAGGATGCTGATACAGATGCTGATATGGAGGATACTGATACAGTGGATGGTGTTGATATCATAGGAGAGGATGCTGATACAGAGGATGCTAGTGATAGGAAGGACACTGATACAGAGGCTTGCTGAAACGGAGGCTTGCTGATACAGAGGATGTTGATACAGAGGACGCTGATATGGAGGCTTGTTGATAGTATGGAGGATGCTGATGATATGGAGGATGCTGATACAGAGGTTTGCTGATACAGAGGTTTGCTGATACAGAGGCGGGTAGTACTGATACAACTCACTGATATGGAGGATACTGATGGGGATGCTGATATGGAGGGTGTGAAGCTGAATACAGACGCAGGATCATACTACTAGTTACTAAGTGGGATATGTGTTATGCGCCACCATCACAAAAAGAGTAATGTGGGATACTAGCTGTTAAGAAGTAGTAAGTAGTATTGCTATTGATGCTGTTAGTAACACCTCCAGTAATAGTAGGATTGGGCCTGAGGTGCTTGTAGGAAACACCAGTAGTAATGAGTTAGTATGGAGGTGTTTATTTCAAGTTGGTTCCAGTAGGAAGCAAGTTCTTTTAAGCGCTGTTGACTTATTTTCTTCCAGTAGTAGTTAGCAGTTTCCCAGTACTAGTCAGCAGACTAAATATCCTTATCAATGAATATTCATAGTAAGCAATACTACTATGTGAAAAACAGAAGTACTAGTACCAGAAAAAGTAGTACTACTACTTGTTGTAATTTCAGTACAAGAACTGCTATTACTTCAYTAGTACTAGTACTACTTCTCCTTCTCAAACTATTTCTATTTTCCACATAGTTGTACTCCTATTGATCATACTACTACTCTTGCAGTAACACTACTAGCTAGCAGTAACCATAGTAGTAGTAACACTAGCTGTAGCTTAAGACAAGAGCTGTAACTCAAAATGTAGCTGAGGCTCAAGCTGTAGGAGTACTAGCTCATGCTGTAGCTAACCATGCTGCAGCAATGCTGTTGAGATCATTGCATTGGGTCAGCTGCATGCCTGCTT